CGGGCGGGTCCCCACGCAGCCGCCCACGGGCAGCGCGCAGCTCTCGGCAGCGCCGCGCGTGGCCTCAGCTCCCTGCGCCGCGCGGCGGTGCCCCGCCTGCAGTCACTTAGTGCTCATGTCACCTTGAGCTGCGCCCTCGTGCGGCCACGCGGCACCGCGGCCACTGTCCCTCTGCCCTGTGCGGGACACGAGCGCGGAGCGGCTTTCCTAGAGCCGGGACTGATGGGGGCCCTCCGGGCTCTCGTGTGGCCTCCCCTGGCTTCGGTGTGTAGCTGGTCCCCCAAGCCCTATGGGCTTTCGTCCGGCCTCCCCAGGCCTCTGTGTGCCGCTGGCCTCTGGTACCTCCATGGCTTTCATGCGCCCTCCCCGGGCCTCCAAGCTCATGAGGCCGCACAGGACCTCTGGGCTTTTGTGCGGCCTCCCCGGGCCTCCAACCACAGCTGGACACGGGCTCTCCGGGCTTTCATGCTTCCTCCCCATCCTCCGTACACAGCTGGTGCCCCGGGCCCTCCACGTTTTCATGCGGCCTCCCTGGTCCTTTGAGCGTGCGAGGCCCCGTGGACCCTCCGGGCTTTTGTGCGACCTCCCCGGGCCTCTGTAAGCCTGTGGTCTCTCGGCCCTCTGGGATTTCATGCGGCCTCCCCGGGCCTTCAAGCGCGTGTGGCCCCACAGGCCCTACGCGCTTTCGTGCAGCCTCCCTGGGCCTCCATGTGCACGTGGCATCTTGGGCCCTCAGGCTTTCGTGCAGCCTTCCCGGGCCTCCATGTCCAGCTGGCCCCCCAAGTCCTCCAGGCTTTCATGCAGCCTTCCTGGGCCTCTGTGAGCGCATGGTCTCTTGGGCCCTCCGGGATTTCGTGTGGCCTCCGTGGGCCTCCACACGCAGCTGCCCTACCGCACTCTCCGGGCTTTCATGCGGCAACCCCGGGCCTTAGTGCGCAGATGGCCCTCTGGTTCCTCCGAGCTTTCGTGCGCCCTCCCTGGGCCTCCGTGCGCAGCTGGACCCCGGGCCCTCCGGCCTCACGGCTCCCCAGGCCGTTTCTGGGGAGCAGCCCATCTGCTCCACACCATGGACCACAGCCAGTAGATGGCATTCACATGCTGCCATAGAAAACAGGCATGAGGTTGCTCAGAAAAGAATAAAGGAAATGGAAAATAGTTACCTTAGCTGGAGATGATGCTGCCAGATTTAGTAAGTCACTTCTGAGCTTTCAAAAGTCCAAGATTTCCTGACAGCTTCTCCTTTGCCCATAGATTTTCTGTCTTCTTATGTTTGCAAGAAGGATAAGGCATCCCTAAAGCATTCCTGAATACTTTGTTTTGGACTGGACCATGGGGATGCCCCAAGAGCAAGTCAAGGGACTATGAGTGATACCCAGTCTCAGAACTCTGATCCAGAATCTGCCAGGCAGAACCCAAATGTCCAAAATGTCCCAGCACCTCTGGCAGGGCAGTTCCCAGTCTGACCACACATGTGGCTAGTGCTTAGTCAACAGAGGTGTGAACAGTGCCACCCACTGCACTTGGAAATGGCTGAAACTTCTTGTCTCATGGGAGCCACCAGACCTGAGAAGACAATGATGTCTACATGGAGCTGACCAACTAAAGCAGACTAGCAGGACAGGTCTCAGCATCACCCCATGGGTGCTGGAGGACCAGCCCAAGAGTCCCAGCCTTCTATAAACATAGAAAGCAGTGATGTCAAGACAAGTCTAGATGTAGACAAGTCTACATCAAGTCTACATCTACTTGATGTAGACAAGGTAGACATCTGCAACCACCTTCTCCACTCTGCGCTGAGCTCAAGATCACACAGCCTTTCTGCCCACCAAAGAGTCCCCAAAATCAAACACATACCTAGCAGATGTTGGCAGGAGATTCCCAGGGCAGCAGTCACCAGTCTGCAACCTCCTTCTATCTAGTGGTGTAGAAGATACTGAAGTCTCTGCAACCCTGGCCTCTCTCTGACCATCCCCACTAGGACTCAAGTGACAAGCCATTGTGCTTCCCCGAGTGGTCGCTGCTCAAGATGGAGCTCCCTGCTTCTTTGCAGAGTGCCAAGCACTGTGCGTGATCACGAGGGGGTGTTTGACAGCCCACATCAGCCTAACTCTGCCTTTAACCTCCATTTCTGCCTGCAGCCAAACCAGCTCTTTGGTCTGAGCTGCTTGCTGAAGCCCAGGAACCCCAAGGCAGAGATGTGGATCCAAGACCACAGCCGATGGGAATTGCCATGGCTTCTGTTGCTGTGCTCGATTTAGAGCAGTTAGGGAGCTAGCAGGGGTGCCAGGTGCCGAAGCTGTGCTGAGCATCCCGTGAGGACCAAACAGAGAGCAGAGCCCCTTGGAAGCAGTGAAGATCCAGCAGTTGGACCTGGGCATGCACAGCGCTCGGCTCCTCGGGGCCCAGGATGCAGGATCCTGGGATCCCTGACTGTGGGATGCGTGGGGATGGTCTCCCGCAGCGGTACCAGTATGTAGCTCGGGGTGTTTAGGTGCATTTTGCAAGCGAGGAAGGAGGTTTCAGCCCTCTGCTCTGCTGCTCGGACCAGCCAGGGCATCCCGTGGTGCCAGGACCCCAGGTCACCTCGGAGGCACGGCGAGCCAGACCCGCAGCCAGGGGCTGAGCACAGTGGGGACGGCCAGGCGGTTAAACCAGGTATAGAAAACTCTCCCTTGCGTCCTGCTGCACGTGGAGGCCGCCTTCGGCTTCCAGTGCCCCCTGCTCCATTAAAAGCTCCTCCTGGTCCCTCCATAGCCTCCGCTCGCGAGCAGCATCCGCCCGGGGCCGGCGGCAGCCCCAGCGCAGGATGCGCGCAGCGCCGGCAGCATCCTGCATCCCGTGGAAGAGCATCGGGATGCGCCGGGCGCCTCGCAGCCCATTGGAGGAGCGGCGGCGAAAGGGGGGTGCCCGCGGCCGCCCTCTCCCCGCAACACCCCCCGTGCCGCTGCCAGCGCCATCCTGGGCGCGCACAAAAGCGTCGCGATCCGCCGCCGCCACCGGAAAGCAGCAAAGCCCTGGGCGGCGAGGGCGGCGGCGGGAGGGAGCCGCCAAGCAGCCACCGTCGCTTCCCTCCCTGGATGCGAGCCGGATCGCCAGGGCCCGTCGGGAGCCGGCCTGGATGCAGCCTGGCACGGCGGGGCTGAGGCAGCAGCGCCGGTGCCGGAGCCCCTGAGCGGCCCAGCTCCGGCAGCGGGAATGCGCAGGCAGGATCCGGGCTCTGTTGCCCACTAGGCATCCGCCGCGGTGAGTACCCTGGGCCTGGCAGTGCCTTCCCCATCCTCCTTTCCCCCCGTCTTCCCTCCCTCCCTCTCTCCCTCCATGACGCTGGCGGTGGCAGCAAGCAGATGACGGTGGCAGCGAGGGGGGGCCGCATCCATCGCGGGCGGCTCTGCGCTCCCCGGCACCTGCAACGGAGACGAACGCCTGCCCTGTGCCAGGGCCTCTACGGAGCTCCGCTCCTCCAAAAGCAGATGCCCGCGGGCAGCTTCACCTTCCCACAAACTGCCGCTGGCAGCTGCCCGTCTTGGCGTCCCCGAGGAAGCGCAAGGGCAGCCGAGCGGGCCCAGCTGCTCCTCTCCCTGAGCCCCGGGGCTGGGGGCAGGCTCCCGGCTACCCAAGCATTCACCCATTATCTTTAAAAAAATAATTATTTAGAAAAAAAATATTACTGCCCTCAGTAGGATGACAGAGGAAGGCGTGAGCTCAGGAAGAGCACGCAAAGCCTTCCTGCAGGGCGCTGCTTTATCCTGAAGATAGATATGCACATTATATATCTTGAAGATAGATATGCCCAGCACACCAGCTGCTTCCTTTAGCTTGCATGTGCCGCAAGACGAGGCTGGGCCTCATCTCCTCCCGTGCCGGCCATCCCCGCTGCAAGGCCCAGCAATCAACCGGCTCCTCCTGCCCCGCGCTGGCCCCGCACGGCTGCTCCCGAGCCCCTGTGCAGCCCTTGCTTGGGGCTGTGCACCGCACACCGAGCCCGGCACAGGGGTGCCCAGACCTCGCTGAGAGGTGTGGAGAGGTCCTGGTGAAGGTGAGCACTGGCCTGGTGCTGTAGGTCCCAACGCTGGTGGGTGTTCCTAAGAGCAAGGCCCACGGCGTCCGGGTTTCTCCTGTTCACAGCACCCGCTCTGCCGCCCTCCAGGTTGCTCCAGCTTTAATATTCCCCCCGGGAGCAAGGCAGGGATGTATAACCTTCCAGGGTGGTAGAGAGAGATGTCCAGTTTCTGGCCTCCTCCTCTGGGTGTATGGAGAAGTCCAGGGATGGAGCAGGGAGCAGCAGTCAGGAATTTCTTGGCAAAAGCAGAGCCCCTCACCTCTGCACAGCCTGGCAAATGAAATGGAAGCTGCTGCCAACCCAACCTGAGAGGGGCCTGGGAGGAGCTCTTCCCTCCGAGCTGCATGCTAGATCACAGAATCACAGAATCCCAAAATGTCCAAGGTTGGGAGGGACCTCTAGGAATCATCTAGTCCAACCTTCCTGCTCCAGCAGGGACACCCAGAGCACGGGGCACAGGGCGGCATCCAGGCAGGTTGTGAAGACCTCCAGAGAAGGAGACTCCTCAGCCTCCCTGGGCAGCCTGTGCCAGGGCTTGGGCACCCTCACAGTGCAGAAGTTCCTCCTCCCATGGAGATGGAGCTGCCTGGGTTTCAACTTACACCCATTGCCCCTTGTCCTGTCTCTGGCCACCACTGAGAAGAGCTTGGCCCCTTCCTCCCCACATTCCCCCTTCATGAACTTATCCATGTTGATCAGATCCCCTCTCAGCCTTCTCTTCTCCCAGCTGAGATCTGTCAGCAGAGGCTCTTGTGAACACCAGAGAGCCGGGAGGGGAAGTGACAACAGGTGGCATCAGCCCAGAGCGAGTTTATCTCCGAGGTTCGGGGTAGCCCTAAGGTCACCAATGCTGCCTTGCTCCCGGGCTGACCTCACCTCTGCTCGGCCCCAAATGGCGTCGGGAGCCCCCAGGCCTCGTGTCCTGGCTTTGCTCATTTTGCAAGGCAAGCGGCCACCTTGCAGCGTCTGGTGTCGGGGTGCAGGTCAGGACTCGTTCAGAGCCACCCTCACTACCCACCTGCTCACCACTTTGCAGCCCGAGCTCTTCCTCACGGGACACAGTATCCCGCTGCGAGCGCGATGGGAACCACGGAGGCCACACTGCGGATGGAGAACGTGGACGTGAAGGAGGAGTGGCAGGACGAAGACTTCCCCAGGTTTGTCCCCGGCTCCCCACCACATAAGAAACCAGCAGGGTGCCGGTTGTGCCATCCCCTCCTGGCAGCCCGAGGGCAGCAGGACTCGGCTCCGTCACAGCTGCCACCCCCAGGGCAGCCGTGGCCGGGCCTTTGGTAGCGCCGCCGCTCTGCAGACTCGGAGGCGTTAGGGAGCTCCTGGCAGCTATGCCATGAACAGGGTACGTGGCAGAGGAGACAGAGCAGGAGCAGTGCACCAGGAACGGGGCTCCGGGATGGGTTTCCCTTGACAAAGCAGTGCTGCTCGGCCAGGAAGCAAAGTCCCTAGGATGTGGTGACCACCTGGCCAGCTGCTTGGGTGAATGAATGGCCAAAGTACTGCTCTTCCCTTCTCCTTACAGCTTTTTGGCCCCAGAGACACTCTCCTTTTCCAGGACAGGGTGGACACCAGCTGCTCCACCCATGCTGATGGCCTTGCTGCTCTTCCTCTGCTTCCTTTGAAGGAACCGTTGCAAACTTCAAGGAACACATGGAGTGGGAGCAGGTGACAAGGGGGTGACTTCAGCCTCCACGAGCAATCGATGAGCGCTAAAGCAGACTAAACTCCCAAGCTTTGCATGCACCCAGCTCCCTGCAGCCACCGGGGGGGACAGACCCACAGCTGCCCCCGCTGTCCAGCACCAGCCCTGCTCACCCGCGCAGCTGGCACAGCCAGTCCTAGTGCAAGGGGGGGCTTCCTCGGCGCCACGGCAGCTGCCGCGGCTCCCCTCGTGCCACACACAGCGAGCCTGTGTTGGCGGCACAGTAGCGCAGTGTGCGGCTGAGCCGGAGCTGCAGAAAGGGGCTCCTGTCCCCGCGGCGCGGGAGCTCGGCTGCGCCCGCCCCGGCCACAGCTGCGGCCCAAATCCGAGCGCCTCCGTGCGTGGTCCCGGCACCCGCCTCGTGCCCCCCGGCCTGCCCTCCTTGCTCCAGCTCAGCCAGGCCTTTGGGTGCCCGCGGCGGGCTTGGCTCGGCTCTGCAGCAGCACCTTGGCCACGCAAAGGTGCCACCAGAGTGAGCAGAGGGCCAAGCAAGGCACGGAGAGGAACCATCTCCCTGAGACCACTTAAAAGATCTGGAGCTGAACCAGATCTAGCTCCAGAGCTGTGGCCCAGCCACACGCAGAGCTGAGCGGCACCAGGCTGCATCTCCACGCGGCACAGCTCAGGGGACACGGAGTCCACACACAGCGGTGGCATCGTGGCCCGCAGCCAGGCCTGGGAGAGGAGGCCTGGGGCTGGGCGAGGGGCAGGGGGCAGAGCAAGGCAGCACGGGCAGGGAGAAGGGCAGAGCCTCGAGGAACCAGGGGAAAGGGGAGAACTGCGGGCACCAGCGCCGGGGCTGAGGTGGGGCCGCCCTCCCCTCTGCAGAGGGATTAGAGCAGCAGCGATGCGACAGAAACAGAGCTCAAGCAGCCCCTGGCAGCGCCATGAGGCCAGTGATGCTCACCTGGCATCTCAGAAGCAGTTCTCAAGAATCGCCTGCCCTAGCCCTCCCTGGAAGTCCACGGGGAAAGCGGCCGTGAGGTTTGCAGGCTGCTAAGGACGCTTGCCGAGGGGTGCCCAGAGCGGGAGGATGCAGAGGAAAGGGTTGCCCTTGCAACCCTGTCTCCTTGTGCGAGCCGCAGCCCGCACGGATGCGTTCCGGTGCCGCCCAGCACGCTCTCCCCGGCACCCGGACCACGTTTGGGTGTCTCGGACATTTTCTCACATTTGGATGCTCTTATTGCCAGCTCCTGGCTGGACAAACCACCAGGTGCCAATGGAGATGAAAAGGAGGAGGGAAAGCTGGAGGGGGGCAGAAGGTTTGACTGCTGCCAGGGAACAGCATCGCTTCCTCGTCCTGGTGGCCGCCAAGCAAGAAGGGACCGAGCGCCTTTGATCTGGTCTCTCATAAATATACAAGAGCCAGCTCAGCGAGGATTATCCCTTCATCTCAGCGTTTCTGCAGTTTAATTGGGCTGGTGGCTCTGGTGTCACAGCAGCACCAAGGGGAGCTGGGGCAGTCAGGCTGCAGCCTCCTGCCCACGTGGAGGTGCCCGTGCTGGCTAATTCCCTTCTGGGCATCCTTGGCTGGCAAGGACCTGTGTGCAGGCCCCTGGCACAGGCCCATCTCAATGTTCAGAGCACTCACTTGAAAAGTGGGTGTTTTTTCCCATCTGTGTTTCACCTCAGAGCTGTCCCCGCACTGTTTTCTTTAACATCTGGAGGCCTGGCCCCTTCCCCTGGAGAAACCAGAGCAAGGCCAAATTCCTACTGAAAGGAGCTGTTGAAAAAAAAATGGCTTGGAAGGCCCCAAATGAGCAGGTGTTTGGCATCACAAACTCGTCATGGACTTGCTTTGGTCATGCTGCATGACCCCATGCTAACACCCGGAGCCAGGTGCAAGTCCCAGGTCAGAGCAAGGGCAGTTCAAGGAGCTCATGAAAGGGAGCAGCAGGTCAGCCAAGAGCTTTTGGCTGTGGGTCAGTCCTAGCTCCTAGAGAGCCACCTTCCAAATCTCCATAGGTTTGGGAACCACCAGCGCTTCTGTCAAGTAGGGGGCCAAGATGAAGATGAGGAGGCAGTTTGAGGATCATACCCAAGGTTTAAACCTTGCTTTCAACCCCTCCTGATATACAGCAAAGTCCCTACGGGCCCCAGAGACAGCTGCCCCCCAGGAGAGCTGGCTGTAGAAGTTATTCTCAAAGATTTGCTTCCCTGTAGCCATGGCCCGTGACAGAAGGCAGGATGCACTTAAAAAATAAATGATGGAAATGGAGGGTAGTGCAACCATCCACCACTGCTGTCCACCCATCCAGGGGGACAGGGCGAAGGGTGCTCTCCAGACAAGGTGTAAGCGCGTTGAGGGCTGTTCCCACTTGCTTCCCACCACCACCGCCCACATTCAACTCAGCTGTTGCTGTGAGTCAAAGCATCTCTCCACAGTGCCTAGGAACAGGCAACATGGGTTGTCCCAACAGCCCCTTGTTTTGCCTACACCATGCCGGGAACAGTCTCAGACACCAGAGCATCAGTCACAGAAAGTGTCCCCTGGAGCACTGATCAGGGGCTCTCAGCTTGGCACTGCTTTTCAACCTCCCAGTAAAGACAAAACGGAGATAATGTGGAAAGAAACTGGGTTTTAACAAGGCTCTTTGGGGGGCAAATATTTATTCCAGGGTCTCCAGCTGAATTTTGCCAGCACAAGCCGTGATTTGGCAGGGAGTGAGAGGGGTTATGCACAGGGATAGTTTGGAAGTTACCTGAGATTGTGAAGTGCTCTAGTAGGGCAGCAGCACTGCTTGGTTGGTCTCAGGCCAATCACCTGAGCTCCTCCAGCAGATCGTTGCCCATAGGCAGAAGGAAAAGGGTAGAGCAAACGAGGTTGTATATCTGATCCACCATCCCCAACTCTCTCCAACATCTCGGCAACAGACTTTCGCCAGAGCTGAGTTGAAAACACTCACCTGTTTTCCATGTTATTTCTCCTGTTTTCACTTCTGCATCTTGGTTTGTGTGCAGACCTCTCCCGGAAGAAACAGGAATGGAGTCACTGGGCAGCCCTACGGAGGATGAAAACACATCCTGTAAGTAGCAGCTGGGTTTGTCAGGAGCTCCAAGGAAAAGGAGTCCAAGGGAAGGGAGGAGTGTAGCCTGGGTGAAAGCCAAGTCCCTACAAGTCTCAGCAAAATCCCAGAGAAAAACAGCAGCAGGTTGGAATTTACTCATCTTTCAGAGAAAGCAGCAGGAGGCCATGGATATCTCATAGGCATTGAGCACCCTTACCCAGCCCTACCTCTCTGTGTTTAGCACCTCCTAGCTATGACCCGAGCCTTAGCTTCCAGGACCACAGCCTGAATTACACCTAATGAACGCCCCACATCTTGCAGTAGGGCACAAACCCACCACATCTGGTCTTTTCTTTTTATCTCCAGCTCCCCCCAATACTTTGAACTTTAATGGGGCGCACCGTAAGCGCAAGACCCTTGTTGCACCTGAAATCAACATTTCCCTGGACCAGAGCGAAGGCTCCATCCTCTCTGATGACTTCTTGGATACACCAGATGACCTGGACATTAATGTCGATGATATTGAAACACCTGATGAGACAGATTCCCTTGAATTCCTGGGAAATGGGAACGAACTGGAATGGGAAGGTAAAAGACCATTGCTCAGAGCTGGATTGCATGGTGCGATCCTTGCTTCTCTCCCCAATTCCTGGGTATCCTTGCTGTGAAAGTGGTGGGGTGAGGTGACTGTACATCTTTGCAAAGATATTGATAAGCCTTCTGTGACTGCAGATATTCCAGGCAACATCAAACATTATTTCTATTGCAAATTGACATGAGTAAAATTGGTAAAAACCACAAACCTGCACATACCAAAGCTGGTGGTGACACAGCTCACCCACAAGCCTTGTTGCCATCTCCTGTTTTACACAAAAGCTCTTGCAAGAGTCTCTTTTGACACAGAGCAAATAGCACATTTTACCCACCACTGATCCATGCTTGACATGCTGCATGAAGAGCTGGATGTGTGAGCAGGAGATAGGTCTCTCCAGTCCCACAGAGTCATCACAGAGTCATCCACCAGCCCTTCCTCCCTCTCTTCTCCAGATGACACTCCCGTGGCCACAGCCAAGAACATGCCTGGGGACAGTGCAGACCTGTTTGGGGACAGCGGAGCAGAAGATGGGAGCGCTACCAATGGACGGCTCTGGAGAACAGTCATCATCGGAGAGCAGGAACACCGCATCGACCTGCAGATGATTAAACCTTACATGAGGGTGGTGACGCACGGAGGTAAGGCAGAGGGAGGCCTATCCTGGCCTGGTGGAGACTTTTCTCAGTATATTTTTGCAAGCTGGAGAGATGTAATGACTGGTTATTTGGGTTATCCTTAGCTTTCCCTAAGGATAACCCAAGGATAAGATTATCCTTAGCCAAGGATTAAGGATAACAGCTATTCCTTTGTCTGTCAAATGGTAGACAAGCTCAAAAGCAACCTGCTCATGCCTAAAAGATCTATGGACACTGCAGCAAAGTTTCAGTAGATAGAAGGAGTAGCACAAGTGGCTGTGACCTTAGGTAGGAATACACCCTGACCTTCTCTTCTGGGTGCAGGAATCACAGCCCCTGCTTGAGTGCTTAATTGCTCGGTAGCTCAGTGCCCAGCTGACTCTGGATGGACATCCAAGAACCACCATGCCCAAAGCAAGCGACTCTTTCTGAGATTTGAGCATGGCCAAGCAGTGACTGAGGGCACTCTTCTTTACTTTGTTCTTTGACATTCCTTTTATTCTGTTCCTGAACCTCACATTTGCGGCCTAAGCCAGAATCAGGGCCAGAGTTTTCTGCATTTCCATCTTGGAACAAAATGAAGCTTGGCAGCAAGTTAGCCAAAAGGTTCTTGTGTCGCCTATTACTTGGTACCATCTCACTAATATTAATGTCTCCTGAATCCAGCTCCAATGTCAATATGCTGGATCTTAGCCCAGTGGGTTTGAGGCAAAGTACAAGGCATCCAGGAGTATGACAACTGCATCTTCCCATAAATCTGCAGGAAATAGGTCTGCACAGGGACAAATACTTGAGGCTGGGACAGAGGCAAAAGCCCAAATTTGGCAATACAACTTTGCTGATGTTTCTCCTTGCAACTCTTGCATCTCCCCATGGAGAGAGCCACCGGTGTTGTCCATATCTTTCTTTCCTAGGCTACTATGGAGAAGGTCTCAACGCCATCATTGTCTTTGCTGCCTGCTACCTCCCAGACAGTAACCTGGCTGATTACCACTACATCATGGAGAATCTCTTCTTGTAAGTCAATAATCAGGCCCTGTGAAGGAGAAGAGGGCAAGAAAGATAACCTGGGTTCTGAGGAACCAGTTTCTGTATATTCATTGCATAGGTAGTCTTAGCTGGAAAGCAGTTGCCAGGCCAAATGCATCTGGCCTGCAGCTGCAGACTCGATAGAACATCACTAGCTGAACCATCATCCACAACATTTGCATGAGTTCAATAAGTCAAAGCATTCAAGTATTTATTGTTAATTATGGCAGCGATGGGCTCATGACCAGGCTAGAAAATATGTACACAATACAGAACCATTTGTAGATGCTATTGCTAGGCAGAACAACACAGGGATGTCCATCAGTGCACATGCACTGTGCTCATAACCAGGCAACTCCTGAGAAATGCCCCTAGGTATCCTGAAGAAGTGCCATGAGAGCATAATCCAAGATCTACAAAGAAGGGAGGTAGAGTCTTTGGGGGGAATGACACACATGTACCTGAGAAACTCCAAGGGACCTTTTCTGAGTTTCATGTCACTGTTGCTTCTGACTACCCAACAGATATGTGATCAGCAGCTTGGAGCTGTTGGTGGCTGAGGACTACATGATTGTGTACCTAAATGGAGCAACGCCACGGAGGAGAATGCCAGGCCTTGGCTGGCTGAAGAAATGCTATCAGATGATAGACAGAAGGTTAGACCCTATCAGAGTTGCCTCTCCACATTCCCTGTTGTCTTTTCACATTTTCTCTGATCTGTCTTCATAGCCTTTTCCCACAACCCCTGCTTCCTCACTCCCTGTCCTCTGTAATTTCTTCCTGCGTCACAGTTTCCTGACTTACTCTGCCTCAGGCTGAGATGACCATCTCCTGCTTCTCCTTCCTTTCTCCTTCCTTCCCTCATGAATTCCTTCACAGGGGACAGTAACAGAGAACCCAAACAAAGCAAGCAGGGCAGACCTGGTGGTGGTAGCCAAATTCAACCATGAGTCTAGATCATCGGGCAACCTTGTGCTGATGAGGCAGAGCTGAAGTCAAGCTAGGAAAGCAACCTACAGGTTGGGGCGAGGCACAGTGAGGGCAATCAGGCTCTAACAGAGCCCAGGAACTGACAAGCAAGTCGCAGCAATGAGATACATCCAAGGTCAAACTGGGAAGCCAGGCTGCAAGTCAAGGGGCAGATCAACAGGGACTCTGGCCAGATACATGCACAACTGTGGCTAAGATGGAGACCAGCACCCCTGCAGTGACCCAGGCCTGAGCTTAAATGGGGCTCCTGACCCCTGGGCTGAGGTTTGGGGCAAAGAACGCTGATGGTCAGGACCATCTACTCCTAGTAACACCCTCAAGACCCTGGTGGAACATGAGCAAGTTCAGGAGAAAGTGAGTCTGACTTGCTGACACATGTTTTTTTCCACAGACTGCGCAAAAACCTCAAAGCGCTGATAATCGTGCACCCATCGTGGTTCATCCGGACAGTGCTGGCCATATCCAGGCCCTTCATCAGGTAAATACGACGTGCTCCCAAACTCCGGCAGGTTTTGCAATGCAAATGTAACCTCATGAATCAGGCCTTGAGCTGACTTTTAACTTGGAGTGGCCAAGGTGAGACTGTCCAACATTTGCCTGATAATTATAAGGACAGCTCCAGAATTGGTTTTAGCGGGAGATGCTTCACTGATTTGCATCCCAATCAAACTGTCTTGCAGCAGGTGAAGTCTAAGGACTACAAAAGACCAGGTTCTCTGGGTAGTCCTCAGACCTTCCAGTAGGATGCACTACCAAGAGTGAAAAGTGGGGCTGTAGCAAGGTGATCTGACATCCCACCACGCTTTGTAGACATCAGCCTATTAGCACTGTGAGGAAATGGCTACACACGGAGTGCAGAGGGTGCAGAAAACTAGGCTCAGCTGAAGTGCAGTTTTGCCTCCTCTGTTCAGACTTATCTCCCTGCTGCCAGCTTTGATCTCTCCTAACAGCAGCATCGCGTCCCATCTTTCCACGGCGTGGAAAGTTCCCACTGACTTCCTAGGCAGAGGAAAACAAAATAATCCCTCAAGCACTCGCTCTTTCTTTTTTCCATGCCAGCGTGAAGTTTATCAATAAGATCCAGTATGTTCACAGCTTGGAGGAACTGGAGCAACTCATCCCCATGGAGCACGTGCAGATCCCAGACTGCGTCTTACAGTAAGTGTCCCGGGGACTCTCAGGTCTAGAAGGGTTTCAAGATGCCTGGAGCAAAGACCTCCTAGAGGAGAGGAGATTGGAGATTGTGTTTAGTGAAGACCCTGGTGCCCAAAACATAGAGCTTGGGGCAAGTATATCATGCCAGGTGGAGCCTGCGTACGGAGCTCATTTGCAGTCCTGGCCACCTTCAGAGCAAACCCTGCACTTTACTAAAAGCGAATACTATCTCCTGGTAGAACCTAAAGGTTTTTTCCTGTCCATTGCAGATATGAAGAAGAGAGAATCAAGGCAAGAAAAGAAAGGTAAAATTAACTTGTGGTGGGGACAGAGGGTAGTTTGTTTGCTCATGATGTTGTTGCTCTTCTCCTGGCTCACATAGTTAAGTTTTATAACCAGTGAGTCCCAGTTCCTCATATTCTGATACTCTGCACAACCTGTGTCTAATTTTCACCTATTTTCTCAAAATAGGCGAAAGATGCAGAGCAGAACCTACAGGCTTCCTAGCATCTCATAGTCTTTGCCCAGGCCCAATGTTGTGTGGCCAGTATCGAAAAACTCTTTCGTCCTCTCTAGTTTATCCCTTTGCATTCATAAATCCAACTAAACTAAACTGGGCATGCAAAAGAACTTTCCCTACAGCAAGGGCTCCACTTTTAGGGATCTATTACCACTGGCTAGTGGCGACTTCCCCGATGGTCCGGTGTTGGGATGAAGCTCATTTATCCATAGAGTTATTCCTCTTAGCTCCATGTGTGCATGTATCCTGGCCAACCCAGTCCCAAATTAAGAAGCAATCGCTCTGTTCATGAAGATGCTGCATTTCCCCCATGCAGTGATGCAAAGCGACCTTTGAATGAGAAGCCGCGTGCAGATCGAAAGTCACTTGGTTCAGCCCCAGTGGGATGAAGAGATCCATTCGGTTCGAGTTGGCTTTGTACTGTTGTGTAGAGCCATCCCATGGCCGGTGGTTGGAGGTTAGAAGTGCCAGCCATAAACATATATAACAGCTCCACTGAAGTTGCAGACAGAGGATCACAGAATTACAGAATGTTCAAGGTTGGAAGGGACCTCTAGAGATCATCCAGTCCAACCTTCCTGCTCCAGCAGGGACACCCAGAGCACGAGGCACAGGGCGGCATCCAGGCGGGTTTGGAGACCTCCAGAGAAGGAGACTCCCCAGCCTCCCTGGGCAGCCTGTGCCAGGGCTCGGGCACCCTCACAGTGCAGAAGTTCCTCATCACCTGGAGATGGAGCTGCCTGAGTTTCAATTTAAACCCATTTCCCCTTGTCCTGTCACTGGCCACCACTGAGAAGAGCTTGGCCCCTTCCTCCCYACATTCCCCCTTCATGAACTTATMCATGTTGATCAGATCCCCTCTCAGCCTTCTCTTCTCCAAGCTGAACAGGCCCAACTCATTCTCTCCTCATACAAGAGATGTTCCAGTCCCTTCATCACCTTAGTTGCTCTCCAACAACAGCTGGAGGAAGCTGCAGCTGGGTTAGCACCACATATGTACCACAATAATGCCGCCTTGCAGCGCTGAACTGAACGGGAAAGGCCACAGCGGGAGGATTTCGGCTAGTCCCGTGCTAACCAGGGAAAAACGAGTCATCCGACCAAAATTCATCAGCTCCCTCTCACAGGGGCCAATGGAGGCATCTTGAAAGCATTCTGATTATCTGTGTTTTACACGGACGAGAACCTAACAAGCCATTTCTGCATCAAAGCTGTGTCTCTGGTTGCAGCTCTCTCTGTAGAAAACTCCAGGCAGTGGGGAAACTGTGGGTGCTGGGTGCTCTACCTTAGATATTCTACTTTTTCACACCCCTAGACAGCAGATTTCAAATGCCATTTGCTTTTACAGGGCGGAAGAGAAACAAGACATGGCTGAGAAGGAAAGGTAGCTATTTTTTGATATTTATTCTTCACTTCAGGAATAGTCTGAACACTGTCTTGTAGTGAGACCAATCCCACCAGAGAGTCAGGCCATTCACCACGACCACCACCTTCCTGACTACGCTAATCCCAACTTCTGATTTGCAGCTTAGCTCCAGATCTTTAGCTAGGCAAAGGTCTCGTGACATTCTGCTGTAGCACGTGCACATTGGTGCAACACAGAGGGCCAAATACTGCTCTCAGGCACATCTTGAGTGTGTGTTAACTGTGAGATACAAGTCTGAAACCTGAAATGGGAAAGAAAATTCTAGGAAGAGTTGGGAGACAGTGTCAAAATCCCATGCCAGGTTTATTTGGCGTGGATTTGGCTCTGTTTCCAGCTTGGTACAGTTGCACTTGTTTTATTCTATCTAGCTAGATCCTGAGGGGAAATGGTGGTTATTGCTGCTATTCTCCTCCCAGACAGCAGGAACTTTGATCAGGGTTGCTGGGGTCCACCTGTGTGACCTCATGTGTTGCAAAGAAATGCATCAGGAGAGGACAAGTAGCCTGTGGTGAAGACTCACTGCTTGTTTTGATGCTTCTCTCCCAAGCAGGCCTGTGCCCCCAGCAGCGGAGGACCAGGAAACCAGGTTTGACTAGTTCTTCATTTCTTTCCTTAGCACTCTCTCAGCTATGTGATGATTTCATTGCATGTGTAACCCAAGACGAACCAGAAAGTTAAGACTGAGTTAGACTCCCAAGCTCTCTAACCCAATGCCACTCACCTAGCACAGAAGAGGCACCAACCCTTTCCCATGGGAATTTACTGCAAAGCTGCTTTTCATTGCCCTACACTAACTTCTTCATGGTCTACATGCTCAGGAGAAGTCCTTAGAGAAGATAAACACCCATTAGAGCTATGAATGACTCCATTCTGGCCCTGCAGCGCTGCCGTGGCGGATTACACCCAAGCACATTCATATTTTTGGATATTAGGGGAGAGAACAGAGCACCCGTTTACAATTGGCTTCCTAAAAATAACTTTGCCTTCTTCTCAGCATGTCCTGAAGCAAAGTGCGGCGGAGCGGCTGGAGCAGGAGCACGACGCAGCCTGGCAGCCACCCACGTTACTGACCTGTCGGTGTAAGACCTTGTCGCCATCTCATGCCAGGTTCCGTAAGCTGCCTCCCTTGCCCCGGAGATGCAAAGTCCTTGCAATGTTTTGAAAACCGTTTTACTGAAAAACAAAACAAAACAACAAAGCTAAGAACAGCACTTTTCAGGACAGGTCCCAGCGTGTTTCGGTAACAGTCTGTGGAGGGCTGTAAGTAGCACGAATAGATACCATATTTCCTCTTAGCAAGTTAAGAGCGTCCTGTAGTCCATTAGTCATCAGCCCAGAAAGAGATATATTTTTTGTTTAAATTATAAACCCTTCCCCTAACTTGCTGCTGGCCAGCACGAAGACATTTTGCTTTAAATTGCACACCACTTTCCTCTGCGGAGACATTACGACAGCCGTCGCCTCAGAAAATAACTAACGTGGGAAAGGCAAAAAGTGCATTTTTGCCCTTTTTGGATTCGGTGTTTGTTTGTCCCCATGAATACCAGGTGAGCACTGGTCCACACACCCCTGCCAGCCTTGGCATCCCCAGTTGATCCACTGTCAGCCCAGCTTTGATAGCAACTCATAGTGAACTCTTCCTATGAGTAAATGACCCACTTTTCATCTCGTCCTGTCCTGGTTTGTGAAGCTCTCTGATACTTCTGAGAGAGGGTCCCATATAGCACGGCAGCCTCTGCAGAACCTTCTTAGGAGCATATTCTCACACCAACGCACACATACACCAGAAAGGTCTGGTTTTAAGAAGGAGCCTTACGGGCAGGAAAGCTTTTCATCTCATCTTTACATAGAGCTCGTGATACCGGACAATCATTCACTGTTAATACCTCCTCTTGCAGAGACAAGCTGCTAAATGTTTGAAATTTTCCACTTTCTGTCCCTGGGTAATGAGGGTCTCATCTAAAAGACGCTTTCACCTGGGCAAACCCCGGGTGGAGAATGCTGCAGATAGGAGGCAGGACATTACATCTGGGCTCAGCTCCACAGCTATCCAAGAGATGCAGATGCAACCCTGGGATTCTGCAACTTGGTCTTTGGGCATCCAGGAGGATTTCTGTGAGCAAAAGAGAGAAGATATTCTGAGAAGCAGCAAATCCAAAAAGGTCTTCTGCAAGCCCCGATCTCACCAGAGCCAGTCTACGTGAACTGTCTCACATGCCCCAGGAAAAAACCCTTCGCAGAAGTGTGCAGATGAAGAACAGATTCCCCCTGTTTAGGAATATAATAAACCTGGCGCCTCTGATTCGTGGCTGTCTGCAATGACCACTTGGCTTTGAAATTCCCCAGGGGATCATTCAGGCAAAGCAAAGCAAAGCTTTACCTCAACTTGGGCATCTCCTCTCTGTATACACAAGCATCTCTCCCTTCTTTTTTTTTCCTTCTTTCTTCTTCTTTTTCTTTTTCCCACTTTCACTTCAATGCAAAATGCTGTCATAGATTATATCTTTCCAGGATGCTACAAAGGAGCACAAAATCTGCTCCCTTTGCAGACTTTTTGCTATATGTTTTTTTTTCCCCCATCTCCTGAGTAGACAGATCTTAGTGGGAAACATAGCCCTTCACTCATGGATGTATTTATGGAATAGAATTTTGCATGAAAAGAGAGAACGGCATCCATAGCATTAACCCCAGCAGCTGAAGATGGCAAAAGCTGCATATTCCATCTCACCAGCATGTTAATGAGTACCAAGCAAGCATCGATTCACCCAACTTCGGGATTTCATTCCGAGCCAGTTACTGGCAATGCAAATTAAAGGCTATTATCAATAAAAAAAGAAAAAGAGAATAGTTAAAAAATCAGCACTTCAGCCCTTCGGAGCGCAGGTTTTTGCTGAGCAAACCCTCCAAAAAGGCGTTTGTACAAACGGGCAGCGGGCATCTGCTCCGAGCCAGGAGCAGCAGTTGGACGCTCCACATGGCTCTGCCAGGCAGACTAAGCAACCCGCTTAGACCAAGAGCAAAACGTTTCTCCCGGTTAAACAAACTGCAGCTCAGACTCACACACCTCCTTCTAACACCAAGTGTGGGACTTGACGGTCTCTCTTGGGTAGTCCTTAAGCCCAGATTTTCTCTTGAGACTGGTTCCGCGCATTGCCATTAAGTCGTCTGCTGTGCTTTTCACGAAGGCATGCAAGATGCTGTATCATTTTGAGCGGGGAAAGGGAATTTTAAAATCATATAGTGAACAAAGTTGGTAGAGTATTTACTAGATGTTTAAGAGTACAATCCTAGAAACCTTTTTTTAGATTTTTTTTTCTTTTTTTTGAATCTGTATTGACTAAACACTTCAGTGAAAAACGTTCACAACATAACCAGTCTGGAAAATGTTGCTGTTGTGGAGCGTATGCACAAGGAAGATAAAAAATCCAGATTACTTTTATATTATTTCTTGATCCTGACTAGGAACCATATCAGAAGAATATAATTTTTTTTTGTCTGCTTTGATTTTTAAGAAAGGAAAAGATGTTGTGTCCACATTTTCAGAAAAAAAACTCCAAAATGAGAAGAGCTGAAGGTGAAACTACTCTTTTTTTTTTTTTTTTTCCTCAAGAAATTCCTCCAGGACATGACTAAGGGTTCAGCTGTTAAAATGGACATATCAGCAAGTTCATCTCAACATGTGGCAAAGGTAATACACTTAAATACAGAAGGCAATTTGCAACTCTTGGAGATAATTTTTCAAAAAGTGCACTTTCCGACAAAGGTCAGTAGTATGCACTATATTTTAATTTTAATTTTTAAAAAATTGTATGTGTATAAATTTTCTGTCCCCAGATGAATGTTTCTATAGCTTTCCACCTTAAAAATCCCTGCAACTCATATCAGGTAATGAGTTATATGTAAAAAGTGCATTTTTATAGCAACAACCACAAAAAGGTATCATGAACTTAGGGCCAGTAATTTTAGACGTTGCTTGAAACCAAAATAGCTGCATTTTGTGTTTGGATGGAGACACAATGATCAAGGTGACGGCATCCCTTTAGCAACCACACAGCAGCCCATGGAAGTCTGACCAACTCCGATGGGTTTCAGATAATATCAGATCTATATGCTGTAATAAAACCACATAAACCCAGCCCAAAATAGGCCACATACATTCATCTGTATTTTAAAGATTGCAAATTCTGTCTCTCAGTGGAGGCAAGAGCTGGGCAGTAGCCCCAGGGTCAGAAGCTGGAAGGTCCAGGGACTGAGGCCAGATGATCTAATCGAGTTGGTGCAGAGCTGTCAACCTCAATGGTTTAATTCCAGGGACAAGATTCATCTTAAATCTTGTATCTTAAATCTTTATCTTAAATTTATCTCAAAACTTCAATCTTAAAGGTGGTTGAAACCATTTTAAACTTTCTTTTTGCCTCTTCCTTTAAGAAACCTGATATCAAAGCCAACTTCTATGTGGTTTATAAAAGAGATCTTCAAAAGAAATATGGCATACAAGAAAAAAAAGAAAAAAGCCAGTAAAAAAGTGCATTTACATTACTTTTGCCAGTATGTTTGTGTTTATACATATATACACACACACATATATACATGTATATGTGTATATGTACACACACAAACATATATATATGTACACATGCATATATATATTACATACATATATATGTTTTTAAAAATCAAATGGTTTAGGCAACACTGCTGTAATGATCCACCTTTCAAAAGCAGACCAGACTTTTTTTTCCTGTCTCATAAAACCACCTCCAAAGCCTAAATTGATTGACTTATATGTCATTGCACTCTATCAAACAGCAGGTATTATCAGCAAGATATTTAGACTCTTGGATTCCAATTTCCATGAGAACTTCATTCCGAATCCATGCATAGCAGATTTTAACCGATTACAAATTTTTGATATCACATTCACACACACACAAAAAAAAACTCAGAGTAATCTTACAGTCTAATTAACAGCTAAATTTCAACATCCTCTCAGCATCAGCCTGCAAGCTTTAAAAATCAGATTCCTTCCTGTCCAGCTAATGACGGACTAGGAGATGCTTGGCCATCGTTCAAAGTCACTCACGGTCCTCGGTCCAGCCTGCTGAAATGCTGCATTTCCATAGCTTCATGCTGTGACCACCAGGCACAGGTAGGAATCACCTCAGTTTGGGACTTCCCGGGAATTTGGGGTTTGATTCCCTAGGAAAACGTAGGAAATAAAGCCAAGAGATGCTGCCATCTCTTCAAGTTGGATGATTAATACAACAGCTTCTACGTAGTGGAAATGCGAGGGGGCCTGCAGAGCATCCCTCTTTGCCACTTTTCTCCATCTTTTCCAAAGACAAATTGCTTACAGGTGTGTATACCTGCGTAGGAGAAAACAGAAGGGTGTAAGATTTTAAAAGCAACACTCTCTCTTTTATATATCTACCGAAGAATATTAGAAATAGTTAATGGCATGCTGTTGGCAATAAGCTCAGCCTGGCCTGACAGCAGCTAAAATGTACAGGTGAAATTGCTATAAAAAAATAAAAGCACATGATTTCTTTTTTTTTTTTTTGTATTTCCATACATACTGGCAGTCAAAAAATACAGCATGCTAATGGTGAAGTGAATTTTAGAAAGTCACCATGACAATGTACCATAATCTATCTCTGGTTTCCTCCTTTACCGTGAGCCCTCCTAACCCAAACTTACATGTAAAAACGTGTGAACTGTCATTTTTCTAAAGTGTTTGTAATTAGGTGGTTTATGCTAGAAGACATAGATTGCTGCTAAGTATGTATTATTATTTTCGCTTTGTATTCTGCCATTCCAATCTGTGGATATTCAATTAAAATCAGACCAATCCTTGAGCAAAAACGTCTGCCCTTCTTTCATCCACATCTTTTGTGTCGGCACTGTTTGCAACTCTGGAAATAGATTTTCTTAAAAGCAAGCCTTTACAAAATACCTGAGATGCCCAATTTGAGTGCTCAGTTCCATTTTTTCTCAAATAACACAGCAGCACATTTCAGTCAATGAACTGAAATGCATGAATACATTAAAGTCTAACCCTAGAGCCAGCAATACTGTATTCATACCATGAAATAATTCATTTGGGAAATGCTGTGAGTAAATATATATTCTAGTATACATATTCTAATATATATATAATGTGATATTTTATATATATATTTGGCTTTTATGGGTATATATTCATACGATAACATTTCTGCTGTACAGAAGAAAGCAGATTTTTTTTTTCCTATGATTTTTCTCTTCATCAAAAAGCCTGTACCTCAATGATATTAGTATAGCCAAAAAAAAAAGTTATTATTAGGACATGTCCTCAAAATCCACCTGGGTCTTGTGCAGTGTGCTCTAGGTGACCATGCTTGTGCAGGGAGGTGGGACTAGATGATCTCCAAAGCTCCCTTGCAACCTGAACCGTTCTGTGATTCCGCGGGTTTTTTTGCGGTGATTTTTAGTTAAGTTCATTTACAAAGGACGGATGTGAAATGCTATGTGTCAAACGCAACTCTTTGAGCCTTGAACTGCGCCGGGGGGCCGACAGCGACAGAGGAACGCGGTGGTCAGCGCAGTTCTGGAGGTCTGGCACCAAGGGCTCTCCAGGCAGCGTGTTGGAAATGCCTCCAGCTGGCTGCTTCGGCAGCACCTCGACCGCAGGCGTGCGTTACAAAACGCACTTCCCAAACATCTCAAGCAGCCTCCCACCAAATGTGGCCACCAAATGCGGCGTGAGGGAATCTGGTCCATATGGCCGAAAGGGCTGGGCCCGGGAAGCCCACGGCGCAGCAGGAGGAACGCGACCGGCGCAGCAGACCAGGCACAAAAGCTCGCTCTGTTCCGACTGTGCAGACGTGGGATTAGCTGCTCCCCTCCCAAAGCAACAGTTTCCCAATCGGAAGACAAGACGTCCTTCCTCAAACGAGAAAATACCCTTTGATGAGGCCTCGCTGCAGTTTTCCATCAGCCACACTGTGCTCTGCTTTTGGAATGCGAGCTTCTGGCATTATCTTCATTTAGCAATCCTTAAAAGCTCAGGATATTCCCTAGAACAGAAATATTAAAAGAGTTCTGCAGCAAGCCACTCACAGTTTAAACTCCAAAAAAAGAAGAGTCTTCTCACTATGAATCTTAGGAAGATTCATAATGAATCTCCCATTTAATCCACAATTTAAATCTCCCATTTAAATGGGAGATTCTGAAAATGAATCTCCCTTTTAATCCACAATTTGTGCTATTTTTAAGGGAGAAAAAATCCTTACAGCAGGACTATATGGCAAGACTGAGAAAACTAAGCTTTTATTTTCCTACACAAACATAGAATTAATTTCCATACAGACATCAGTTTTGAAATTTGAAGGAAAAGACAGAATTTCCTACTCCTAACAAGTTTTGAGACCGTTTCTAGCACAGGAGTTATGACATGAACTGACACCCCAGTGAAAGCCATCAGTGCTATGTACCTGTTCTTCCCTTAAAAATGACTGAAGTTCCCAAATGAGACAATATTCCAGGTCACAAAAATACGGTAGAGCCTGTCCTCAAGTCTTGGCCATCACTGTTAATCATAAAGCGCCTAAAATAGAAAATAAGAGCTCCTCTCAAAACAACTAGCAGCCTGTCCGAACAATTTACTCCAACACTAGGGACAAGATTCAGCTCAGCTAATTTTAGCAATCAAAAAAACCCAGGAATCTCATCTAAATTAGATTTCAGTGCCTTTTGCAGCAATGAAAAGAGACGATTTCACCTGCCTTAGGACAGGATGATTTGGTCATGTCTCTCTTTCCATTGATAAGAATTAATAGCTAAATTAATAAGCTAATAGCTAATTAATAGCTAAATATCTAGCTTTACATTGCGAGACAGCCACAGCTAAGTGAATTGCACCCCAAAGGTGGAAAACAGAGTGATAATGCATGGGAAAGCGGGAGAAATTCCTCCTTTTTTAGGCAAGCACTTTAGGACTTTGATCATCCAGCTTGTCACCTTAAGTTAACTTCTAGGGGTGTTTGAGGCTTTGGTTTATTTGGCCTTTTGTTTAACAATCCAGCATGATCAAAAGCAAAGCAAGAATGGAGATTACCAACTTACCGAGGGAACAGCAGCTGAAGAGACGAGCTATGAGAAGAGATTTAAATGAGGAGGGCCAGCCAACGCATTCCAGTCAAAAGTTTTCTTTAGTTGCTCTATGAAGAGCCACAATGGGAAACTGTCAGTCTCTGGAAGAAAAATTAATAATGCCCAAATGTGAGCTCTAAGAATAAGATTTGGAATCCAGAATGTCAAGGGAAAAAAAAAATACATATATATATATATGTATGTGTATAGCTGATAGCAATTGAACAATATTACTGCTAATAAGCACTGGGAACATAGCTTTGAAAAATAAAACTAGGTTCATTTTGCAGCATTACAGTTCTTTTAACATAGCATTTTGGCAATGCAAGAGCATTTGAGCTCA